GGAGGATTTTGGGGAGTTTAAGGAGAATTCGGGGGTTGTGAAGGAATTTTGGGGCATTTGGGGAATTTCAGGGGGGTTTGGGGAGGTTTGGAGGGGGACTTGGGGTGGTTTGGAGGGGGATTGGGGGGAATTTTGGGGGGTTTGGAGGGGTTGGGGAAGAAATTTGGGGGATTTGAGGGATTTGGAGGGGATTGGGGGGTTTGGAGGGGGTTTGGGGAGAATTTTGGGGAATTTGGGGAATTTCAGGGGGTTTGGGGAGGTTTGGAGGGGGTTCAGGGGGATTTTGGGGGCTTTGGAGGGGAATTTTTTGGGGGTTCAGGGGATTTTTGGGGGGGTTTGGAGCGGGATTTGAGCAGCTTGGGGAGGTTTGAAAGGGTTTGGGGGGAAATTTGGGGGGATTTTGGGGCAAAACTTCAGGAATTTGGGGCATTTTGGGGGGGATTTTGGGGTTTTTGAGGGGATTTTGGGAGCCCCCTCCCCAATTTCTGCCCCTTCCCCTGCAGTCCCACCCCCCGAGGGGGCGGAGCCAAAGGCGAAGAAGGCGTGGCCTGACGCGAAGGGGGCGTGGCTTGGCGCGAAGGGGGCGTGGCCACCGCGAAAGGGGGCGGAGCTTCCCGCCTCATTCCGCCCCCTGCTGGAGGAGCTGGCCGAGGGATTGGAGCGGGAAATGCCGAGTGAGATCCCAAAAAATTCCCAAAAATCCCCCGGATTTCCCCCCAAAACTTCCCTCGCTCCTTCCCAAATCCCCAAAAATCCCCAAATTCCTCCCAAAACCGCCCCGAATCCGCCCAAAACGCCGAATTTCCACCTAAAACTGACCCGAATTCCGCGAAAATTCCCAAGTTTTCCCGGGAAATTCCACCCAATTCCTCTGAAATTCCTAAATTTCCTTCCAAATCCTGGCTTTTCCCTAAAATTCCCACGAATCCCTTTAAAATCCCCCCAGAACCCCCCAAAATTCCCAGATTTTCTCCCAAAATTCCCAGAATTTCCTCAAAAATCCCCGAATTTCCTTTCAAATCCTGGATTTTCCCTAAAATTCCCCTGCATCCCCCTAAAACTCCCAAATTTCCCCCAAAATTCCCAAATTTCCCTTCAAAATTCCCAAATTCCCCCCAAAAATTCCCGAATTTCCACTGAAATTCCCAATTTTCCTCCAGAATTCCCGAATTTCCCCAAAAATTCCCAAATTTCCCCCAAAATTCCCAAATTTCCCCCCGAAATTCCCAATTTTCCCCCAGAATTCCCGAATTTCCCCCAAAATTCCCAAATTTCCCCCCAAAACTCCCGAATTTCCCCCAAAATTCCCAAATTTCCCCCCAAGTTCCCAAATTTCCCCCAAAATTCCCAAATTTCCCCCAAAATTCCCAAATTTCCCCCCAAAACTCCCGAATTTCCCCCAAAACTCCCAATTTTCCCTCAAAATTCCCAAATTTCCCTTCAAAATTCCCAAATTTCCCCCAAAATTCCCGAATTTCCCCCCCAGGTTTGCTGGCCCCGCCCTGCGCCAGCCTCTGCCTGCAGGGGGCGCTGTTCGCCCTCCACCGCAGCCAATCACCTTCCTGCTCCCGCTTCTGCCGCGCTCTGATTGGCTGCCTCACCCGCCAGGGCCCCGCCCACCCCCAGAGGTCAGTTCTGATTGGTGGAGGCACCGCGGTGCCGTTTCCCGATTGGCCGGTGGTTTCCCGTTTCCCGATTGGCCGCCGCCGCTGATCGCGGCTCTCCCATTGGCCCAGCCCGCTGCTGACGTCACTGCAGGACCCCGCCCGGTCCCGCCTCCTGGAGGCGGCCATGACGGTCCTGGACCCCCCGGGGCTCCGCGAGCTCTTCCGGGGTCACCTGCGGGGTCACCTGAGGGGCGTGGCCTCGCACCGAGTGGCCAATCACGGCCTGCAGAGGCTCCTGGACCACGCCCCCGAGGACGTGGTAGGCGGGGCTTGGTTGGGGGCGGGGCTTAAAGGGGAGGGGCTCAAAGGATTTGATTGGCTGGGGGGCGGGGCTTAGGCTCGGAGAGGAATTCATTAGAGGTGGGCGGGGCTTAATTTTAAGCAGGAAAGGGGCGGGGCTTTGGTTGGAAAATGATTGGGAATGTGGTGGGAGGGGCTTGAAGGGGTGGGGCAAAATGGGAGGGGCTTAAAGGAGGTGTGGCTTATGAGGAAAGATTTGATTGACAAGTTGAGAGGTGGGTGGGGCTTAAAGGGGTGGAGTGAAATGGGAGGGGCTTAAGAGGAAGGATTTGATTGACAGGGCGAGAAATGGGCGGAGCTTAAGCACAAAGGGGAGGAGCCTAAGTTAATTAGAGCTCGAGGGATTGGCTGGGATGGGTTCGGTGGGCGTGGCCCGGCTCAGGTGGGCGTGTCCCGCCCCCCGCAGGTGGAGGAGGCGCTGTCGGAGCTTGGCCCCGCCCTCCAGGAGCCGCTGGCCTGGGGCCACCCCGGGGTGGTCGTGGCGCTGTTGGGGGCGGCCCAGAGACACGCCCGGCTCCAGGGGGCGGCGCTGCGCTGGCTCTTCCAGGTGGGACACGCCCCCTTTGCTAAGCCACGCCCCCTTCCTGCCGATAAACCACGGCTGCTTGGCGTTAAGCCACGCCCACTTCTGTTTTCACCACGCCCTCTGTGGGTTTAGCCACGCCCCCTTTACGTTAACCCGCTCGCACTTTAATAAAGCCACGCCCCTTTTGGGGCCTGCCCCTTCTCAGAGCCACGCCCCTTTAAAAAGCTCCGCCCCTTTCCCCATAGCCACGTCCATTTCTGGCTTAGCCACGCCCCCTTAAAGCCCCTCCCCATTCTATGACCCTGCCCCCTTAAGCCCCGCCCTGTCTCAACCAGCTCCGCCCCTTCTTGAGGCCCCACCCCTTTCTCCTTTCATGGCAGCCCCGCCCTTTTAAGCCACACCCCTTCCCCAGACCCACGCCCATTTCCAGCTTAGCCACGCCCCTTTAAGCCCCACCCATTTTTGACCCCACCCCTTTAAGCCCCTCCCATCCCTGCCAACCCTGCTCCTTTTCTTAAGCCCCGCCCCTCTAAGCCCCGCCCCTTTCCCATCAGGCCCTGCGCTGCTGGGACCCCCCCCACCACCCCCATTGCGTCACCGCCCTGGCCCAGCTCCGCCCCCTTGGGGGCGGGGACAGCGACGAGAAGGCGGAGCTTGAGGGGAAAGAGGCGGAGCCTGAGGGGAAAGGGGCGGAGCCCGAGGGGAAAGAGGCGGAGCCTGAGGTAAAAGGGGCGGAGATTGAGGTAGAAGGGGTGGAGCCACAGCTGAGGGGTGGAGACTACGGGAAAAGGGGCGGAGCCTGATGCAAAGGGGTGGAGCCTGAGGGAAAGGGGGAGGAGCCTGAGGTAAAAGAGGTGGGGCCTGAGGGGAAGGGGCGGGGCTTCAGGGGTCAAGGGGAGGGGCTTGAGTGAGGTTAAAGGGGCGGGGTTTAAATGGGTGTGGCTTGAAGGGGCGGGGCTTTCTATGCTAATTTTGCTCCATAATTTAATTGATTTTTATCTTTTTTCTGTTTTTTTTCCCCATTTTCTCGCTTAATTCCCACTTTTTTTTCCTTCTCGTTCTCGTCTCAAAATTCTCTCTATTCTCCCCAAAAATCCCAATTGTTTTTCCCTAAAAATCCCATTTATTCTCTCAAAAATCCCATTTATACTCCCATTAAAAACCACATTTATTCCTTATAAAATCCCATTTATTCTCTTAAAAATCCCATTTATTCCCCTCAAAAATCCCATTTATTTTCCCATTAAAAATCCCATTTAATGTCCAAAAAAACCTCACTTATTCCCTATAAAAATCCCATTTATTCCCTATAAAATTCCCATTTATTCCCTATAAAATTCCCATTTATTCCCTATAAAATTCCCATTTATTCCCTATAAAATTCCCATTTATTCCCTATAAAATTCCCATTTATTCCCTATAAAATTCCCATTTATTCCCTATAAAATTCCCATTTATTCCCTATAAAATTCTCATTTATTCCCTATAAAAACCCCATTTTTTCCCTATAAAATTCCCATTTTTTCCCTATAAAATTCCCATTTTTTCCCTATAAAAATCCTACTTATTCCCTATAAAAATCCCATTTATTCCCTATAAAATTCCCATTTATTCCCTATAAAATTTCCATTTATTCCCTATAAAATCCCATTTTTTCCCCGTTTTTTCCCGTTTTTTTCCTATAAAAATTCCCATTTATTCCCTATAAAATTCCCATTTATTCCCTATAAAATTCCCGTTTTTTCCCCGTTTTTTCCTATAAAAATCCGACTTTTTCCCTATAAAACCCCCATTTTTTCCCTATAAAACCCCGATTTATTCCCTATAAAACCCCGATTTATCCCCTATAAAATTCCCGTTTTCTCCCTATAAAACCCCGATTTATCCCCTATAAAATTCCCGTTTTCTCCCTATAAAACCCCGATTTATCCCCTATAAAATTCCCGTTTTTTCCCTATAAAACCCCGATTTATCCCCTATAAAATTCCCGTTTTTTCCCTATAAAACCCCCATTTATCCCCTATAAAATTCCCGTTTTTTCCCTATAAAACCCCCATTTATCCCCTATAAAATTCCCGTTTTTTCCCTATAAAACCCCGATTTATCCCCTATAAAATTCCCGTTTTTTCCCTATAAAACCCCGATTTATCCCCTATAAAATTCCCGTTTTCTCCCCGTTTTCTCCCCATTTTTCCCCAGCCCTTTCCCGTCCCCACCCTCTGGGGGTCCCTGGCCCTGCAGCTGCTGCTGAATTTCGGGGACCCCTCCCCAATTTGGGGCTCCCTGGGGTCTCTGCCCCCCCCGGCCCTGCTGGGCCTGGCCCGGAGCCCCCCCGGGAGCCGAGTTTGGGATTCGCTTTTGGGGTCCCCGGGGGTCCCTCCCCGCGCCCGGCGCCGCCTCCTGCGCAAGCTCCAGGTACCCAAAACTCCCCGCAATCTTTGGGGGGGAAAAACAGAAACTCGGGGAAAAAATCCCAGGTTTGGGGGGGAAAAATACCAATTTTGGGGGAAAAAATCCTAATTTTTGGCGGAAAAAATCCTAATTTTTGGGGGGAAAAATCCCAATTTTGGAGGAAAAAATCCCGTTTTTTGGGGGGAAAAATCCCAATTTTTGGGGGAAAAATCCCAATTTTGGGGGAAAAAATCCCAATTTTTAGGGGAAGAAAATCCTAATTTTTGGGGGAAAAAATCCCAATTTTGGAGGAAAAAATCCCAATTTTTGGGGGAAAAATCCCAATTTTTAGGGGAAAAAAATCCCAATTTTTAGGGGAAAAAAATCCTAATTTTTGGGGGAAAAAATACCAATTTTTAGGGGAAAAAAATCCCAATTTTGGAGGAAAAAATCCCATTTTTTGGGGGGAAAAATCCTAATTTTGGGGGGAAAAAATCCCAATTTTTGGCAGAAAAAATCCTAATTTTTGGGGGGAAAAATCCCAATTTTTGGGGAAAAAATATCAATTTTTAGGGGAAAAAAATCCTAATTTTTGGGGGAAAAAATCCCAATTTTGGGGGGAAAAATCCCAATTTTTGGGGACAAAATACCAATTTTTAGGGGAAAAAAATCCCAATTTTTAGGGGAAAAATCCCAATTTTTGGGGGAAAAAAATCCCAATTTTTGGGGAAAAAAATCCCAGTTTTTGAGCGAAAAGAATTGGATTTTTTTTACCTAAAAAATGGGAATTTTTTTCCCCAAAAAACGGGGTTTTTCTCCCCAAAATTGGGATTTTTAAGGGGAAAAATTTGGATTCTCAGAAGGAAAAATTTGGGATTTTTTACTGAAAAGTTGGATTTTTCAGGGAAAAATACGGGGATTATTAAGAATAAAAAATTGGGATTTTTAGGAAAAAGAAATCGGCATTTTTAGGGAAAAAATTGGGAATTTGAGGGGGAAAAATGGATTTTTTTAGGGAAAAACCAGGATTCTTCAGGGGAAAGAAATGGGATTATTAAGAATAAAAAATTGGGATTTTTAGGGAAAAGAAATTGGGATTTTTAGGGGGAAAAATTGGGAATTTTAGGGGAAAAAATTTGCATTTTTAAGAATAAAAAATTGGGATTTTTAAGGGGAAAAATTTGGATTCTCAGAAGGAAAAATTTGGGATTTTTTACTGAAAAGTTGGATTTTTCAGGGAAAAATACGGGGATTATTAAGAATAAAAAATTGGGATTTTTAGGGAAAAGAAATTGGGATTTTTAGGGGGAAAAATTGGGAATTTTAGGGGAAAAAATTTGCATTTTTAAGAATAAAAAATTGGGATTTTTAGGGAAAAGAAATTGGGATTTTTAGGGGGAAAAATTGGGAATTTTAGGGGAAAAAATTTGCATTTTTAAGAATAAAAAATTGGGATTTTTAGGGAAAAGAAATTGGGATTTTTAGGGGGAAAAATTGGGAATTTTAGGGGAAAAAATTTGCATTTTTAAGAATAAAAAATTGGGGTTTTTAGGGGAAAAATTCGATTTTTTTAGGGATTTTTTGGGAATATTTTGGGGATATTTTGGGAATGTTTTAAGGATATTTTGGGAATGTTTTGGGGATATTTTGGGAATATTTTAAGGATATTTTGGGAATGTTTTGGGAATATTTTAAGGATATTTTGGGGATATTTTGGGATATTTTGGGAATGTTTTGGGCACATTTTGGGAATGTTTTTGGGATATTTTGGGAATGTTTTGGGCACATTTTGGG